TCTAATCTAACTAGCCTTTTGATGTAACACATTTATTTTTTTAAAGACTGTGACTCTAAAAAGCAAGTTTTGTGATTTTAACACTTTTCTACTGACACTCGGCAGATTTAGGCTTTTTTCTCTTGCCAAGATACTTTTAGATACACTTTGAGGTATGCAAAAAGTTAAAACTAGAAAAATCAAATACTTTGTCTAAATAGATGTTATTTAAGAATGTGACTCTTAATGGCAGCTTTTGATTTAAGTAAGACAATCCAGCTAAACAATGTCGTTGTTGATGACTTTACTGATTTTTGCTTTTTTTCTGCTACCAAGATACTTTTAGATACAGTTTGTTGTCTGAAAACTCTACAACTGGTAGAATGTCAATCACTTTGTAACACATTTATTTTCTTAAAGACTGTGACTCTAAAAGGCAAGTTTGTGATTTTAACACTTATTCACTGACACAAGGCAGATTTTGGCTTTTTTCTCTTGCCAAGATACTTTTAGACACACTTTGAGGTATGCAAAACCTTAAAACTAGAAAATGAAGTACATTGTCTGATTAGATTTTTTCTTAAAGACTGTTTCTCTAAAAGGCAAGTTTGTGATTTTTAACACTTATTTACTGACACAAGGCAGATTTTGACTTTTTTCTCTTTTCTTGTGTTACCAAGATACTTTTAGATACACTTTGATGTATGCAACACTTAACAAAAGGGTATAATATGAAGTACTTTGTAAGGAATGGGGGTTTCTTTAATACCCCGTTTTTTATTTTTAAAAACACTTGTACAGTTAAATAATGTAGGTTTCTCTGATATTTGAGTTATTTTCAGCTACCAAGATACTTTTTTGATACACTTTTATGTAGGAACATTTGGCAACTGATAGAATGTCAATTATTTTGTAACAAATGTATTTTCTTAAAGACTGTGACTCTAAAAGGGGAGTTGGTGATTTTAACACTTTATTTTTCTCCCGTTGTCTTTCACTTACTTTTTGGATAGTTTTATGTATGACAACTTTACAACTGGTAGAAAGTTAAGTACTTTTTCTGAACAGATTTTCTTTAAGACTGTGACTCTTAAGATAATCCAGTTTTATGGAAGTAACTTAAATTATTTTTGTTTTTTCTCCTACAAAGATACGTTTTGGTAAGTTTTTAGGGAAATGTTGTAATATTGCAACGTTGGCCTTAGGTGGGAGCAGAATTTCTGTATTTCTACTCACATTGTCTGAATAAATATATTGAACAACTAAGGGTTAATTTGCAGGATTGATTGCTTACTTAGCCCTATATCAGTATATAGCATGAATAATAATCACACATCACTCATATTTGTTATGAATAATCATTTATCATTTATTAAATAGTAAGTCGCTTTGGATAAAAGCGTCAGCTAAATGCAATTTATGAAAGCCTCACTCAGGATTTTTTTACCAAGTGTTTTTATTGCTCTTGGGGCATTAAAAACAAGATTTTAACTTTAGTTTTTTATATAATATCTGCATTTTCTCTTGTGAAAAACTAAGTCTTAGTTTGGCCATAGTTATTTAATATATAAAGACTATATATTATTGAATTACAAGATTAGATATACTTCATTTGATCTAAAATATTGATGTGTTCAAATGCTCTTTGAAAACTGAAACTGAAACTGAAAGTCCATGAAAGTTGTCTTCCTGTTTTTGTGAAGGAAGCGCCATCTCCTGGTTAAATCCTGAAATTGAAAATCTGGCAACGCCCTCTTGGAAAATAGTGGGAGGGCTTAACATTCCCAGATACTGGTCTTTGGCAGATCTTAGGCAGGTAACTGGCAGGTAGTAGGCAGGAAGCAGTAAGCTGGAGTCTGAAATAAGATGCTCCATCTGTATCCTAGTAGGTTTAGTCACCATTTGTACCAAGTTACATTATTGTCTGCAGCTTGTTTTTAAGGGCACAGTACAACATATTCCAGTCAATGTTTAAATCTCTCTGTCAAGATCACAAACTTTATCTAACATTTCACATAATTTGTCTAAATAAATTAGGTTTGCATTTGGAGGTCTGTAACGACATCCTACCAACAAAGGTTTCAATTGTGGTAAATTAATTTGCAACCCAAGTACTTCAATATCAGCAGACATCAAATCATATCTCACTTTAGCTGGTATTTGCTTTTGAATGGTGCCACCCCACCTCCATATGCATTTCTGTCCTTTCTAAATATACTATATCCATCAATGTCCACTGCAGCGTCATTAAATGTGTCATCTAAGTGAGTTTCAGATATTGCTAACAAATGAATACCACATGATAATATTTCCTCTATCTCAGACACTTTATTTCTTAGACTACATATATTTATATGAGCCAATTTGAGCCCTTTACTTGGTAACTTCTTCGACATTAAGATGGCAATTTAAATGTTATCTCTTTTTCACTTCCTATCAAATTGAGAGCTGAACTAAAACATACATGTAACACAATTTCAACCGCACACACCATCACATACATAACCCAACATGTATCTGCACATAGATTGCTATAAATGTGCATACTCACTCGCTCAATTAGACGAACCTCCTGGTAGCTGCAAAACATTTTTAGATTATAGTATGAAATAGATTAATGGTAATGTCTCGCAACACAAGATCTAATTAATAAATAAAAATTACATTTTAAGAGGAATGAACAACAATAGAGACCAGTTAAGATTGGTCTCTATTCAAAATCTAATAAACCTAATTTCATACTCGCAGTTGATGAAGTAAATAAGTTCAAATAAATGAGTAGATAACTCATAGACCAGTGAATATTGGCCCACAAGAAAATAATTCCCATTTTCATAATACAATTCATTTCTTCTCCTAATATACATAATCATACCATCTATCAGGTCATGTCAATCAGTCATTTCCCACCTTCATTTCTGGTTTGAACTGAAACCGGGCTTATCACTGTTTTATAGAAACGCTCAGCTTCACTACAGTTCCGATAAAGTTTGGTTTGTCCATTGAAGGTTACGATGAGCGTTGCGGGGAACAATAGTCCATGCCTCACCTCAGCCTTGCGCATCCTGACGTCATTGAATAGGGCTCTCTTCCTGGCAATATCCGGAGTAATATCAGGAAATATCTTCACTCGCATGTCACGGAAAATAATCTCTCCCTTGCTTCTTGCCAGCTTCAAGATAGCTTCCTTAGCTTGATATCTCTGCATAGTGACAATCATAGGTCTGGGTCTCAAGTCAGTCCCCTGCCCAAACCTGTATGCAATCTCGACTGCCGGTTCACATGAGAGCTCACTTCCGAACACCTCATTTAAAATGTTTGTCACAAAGGCAATGGGATCGCTCTTCTCAATGTCCGTTTTCAGTCCAATCACACGTAGATTAAACCTTCTGCTTTGAATCTCCATTCTCTCTATTTTGTCTTTAAACTCTTTGTTTTCCTTCTTTAGATTGCCATTTGCGGTTTTGAGTATAGCAACCCTACAATCCATGTCGGTCAGCCCCTCCTCCATATCACCGAGCTTCTGACAACATGAGTCAAGTTCTCCCTTTAAAGCATCAAGCTGCGGCTGGAATCTCTCGAAAGCAGCCCCAATCTCCTCTCTTATTATGGAGCGTATTAGTGCCAACAGCTCCGAGTGGTTCACCTGCGAGGCCCCGCTTTCCATGGCGTTCTCCTCTGCTGCTTGTGTGTCACTCACTCCCGAAAGACCGCTGCTGTCATTCAATGGCACTTTAGCCTTTTTGTTTGCTTTCTTCGATGGCATTACATTCCCCGCATCGTATTTCACTATAAACTTTGACTGAACAACTTGCTCATCTGATCATAACCTGATGTTTCAAAAGGTTTGATACGGGAGCTCTCAGACTTCCCACACTACTTCCGAACATGCGCATTCGTGAATATACTGCTGATGTATTTAATGTCGTAGAACAAAACGTGATCCGTCTCTTACATTTGTGTCAACCACAGACCTCATCTCCAGCTATTTTCTAAAAACTAGTTCAAAAAACCTTTGACTCTGAGACGAGGGAACCGGAAGTGGTAAAATGCTAACTCACTTCTGGGTTTTAGCACTCGTTCCTGCACCACTCTATAGGTGTCACTATTTAGTAGAAGAAAGACGGGTTAACTCAGGAGTAATTGACTTTGACTGTACAATCTGAGGCAAGTCTGGAAATTCACTCCATCGGAAGAAAATGACACTTATACACATAGTAGACTAATGGGTGTGCATTTTATTCTGCTTCTGCTGACAGGATATAAAGTCAGCCACAGTGAGAGGGAAAATACTAACAGGGTTTTACTGGGTAGTTCACCATAGAAGCACTCTCGAAGAATTTTGTGTTGCAACTGAAGAGGGCAGTTAAGGTTTTAACCGGCGACATAAGGATTGTATCTTAGAAGATTGTCCAGAGGTTTAAAGAAATGGTTTAACCGACGACAATGATTTTACCAATTCAATACACACAAAGCTCTTATCATTACAAACATATCAAATTGGCTTCCATAAGGCCAGCCTAACCAGAAGTAGACCATCATAATGTGCTTTTTTCCTGTATTTTTAGAAAACTTTTACAATCTCCTCCTAAAGAATAGATCACTTACACTTTGGACGGAAAACCCCATGTCATTTGTTACGCTATATTGCAAAAGAATAGTTGATAGGTCAAAGCAAAACACACCATTTTTTGACCGTTTACATGTGTCAACTAAAGATTGAGCTGCTCCAAACATGACTTTCTTGATGATAGGCTGGTCTGGGTCCTGATGGTAAGGGGCCTGGCCTGTTGGGTTCTGGTGTTCTGGAAGCTTTAACGCAGCAGAAGTCTCTGCAGCTGACAGAAGGGACTGCAGCAGTCTGCAGCACAGCAGGTGAGAAACACTGCACTGTGTGTGATGTGCTCATGTTGCATTCATTTACAGTTCCTGACACACTCTGGGGGGGGTGGTAAGTTAAGACTGTGAAGTTCAAATGTGCTCAGATATATTAACGTTTAACCTCTAAGAATGATGTCCAATTTAACATCACTAACTGTATCCTATTTCATTCTTGGAGCTTATTTGAATATTGGATATTTGAGGTACTTGTGTTTCATGATAACTGCCATGTTGTACATTGTGATTGTTGTTGCCAACACGTCTCTGATTGTGGTTATCTGTGTGAACAGGAGCTTACATGAACCTATGTATCTTTTTCTGTGCAGCCTGTTTGTAAATGAACTGTATGGTAGTACAGGGTTGTTTCCATTCCTTCTGGTTCAGATCCTCTCTGACATTCACACTGTTTCTGCTCCGCTCTGCTTCCTGCAGATTTTCTGCTTGCATACATATGGAGGTATTGAGTTTTACAATTTAGCCGTCATGTCGTATGACAGATATCTTGCTATCTGTTGTCCTCTGCAATATAACACACGTATGACTTCTAACAAAGCAGTTATCTTCATTATTCTGGTTTGGTTGAACTCTTTTGTGAAGTTCCCGATAACTTTATATTTAAGCATCCGTTTGACACTGTGTGGAAACATAAGTAACTATGCTGTTGTTAAACTGGCATGTTCTGACACTCAGGTGAACAACTTTTATGGATATTTTACCACTGCTTCAACTGTTTTTGTCCCTTTTTTTCCAATCCTCTTCTCTTACATGAGGATCCTCAGAGTGTGTTTCTCTGGTTCCAAACAGACCAGACAGAAAGCTGTCAGTACCTGCACACCTCACCTTGTTTCCCTGTTCAACTTCTCTTTCGGCTGCTGCTTTCAAGTACTTCAGAGTAGATTTGATATGAGCGGTGTTCCCAGTGTGCTGCATATTATTCTGTCACTGTATTTTCTCATCATACAGCCACTAATGAACCCTGTCATGTACGGACTGCAAATGTCAAAAATACAAAACATATGTAAACATGTGCTCCGTTATAAACTTCTGTCTGGTAGGTCTAATAACTAAAGTGTCAGTGAATGGATCTTAATATCTTGTCTTGAAAAGTGCAGATTAAAACATTTTAATTAAATGGGAAAAATGTGTACTATGTTCATACTGTTTGTAGTATTTATTATATATACACATGCATTCCAATATTCATTAATGAACAGACAAATGTCACCTTAATGTAAACACAGTGAAAATATAAACCTATATTAATATATTGCCTTTGTATACATTTAAAACGAAATGTAAAGTATAAATATATATATATATATATATAGTATATATATATATATAGGGATTGATAGTACATTTAATGATGTCTCTATAACATATCATGTGGATAGTCCTCTGTAGTGTGAACTGTGCAGTGTGAACAAGCATCATGTTATAAATCACTTTGTGGGGGGGTGATGTTTCTGGACTTTTGGTATTTGGTGTAACCAAAATTAACAAGGAGAAATAAACAAGCCTGTATCACAATTCATCTTTGTAGTGTCTATTTTATATTGTGATGAAGATATCTTCAAATGACTGTATTCATGCATCATGATAATGGCCCATACTCATACATCATTTTATTGAAAAGAGCAATGTCATCAGCAAAGCACTAGCAACCGTTATTGATTCAGTTATCTCATCCCTTATTCGCTCAATTCAAACTGGATCCATAAAGTTTAAAATGATAATAAAAAATATAATTCCCACTGTAAAAAAAGATCGTAATTTTACAGGAAATAACTGTACATTTTTATAGTAATTATCATGTTTTTTTAAATAACTTGCAAAATCCTGTAAAATGACAGATATTAACTATAAATTAACAACCCAAAACATTATTTTAAGTATTTTGACAATAACAACAAATAACGATTATTTCATTTTTTTTTACAGTAAATTTACTATATAATATTTACAGTATTTTTGCACTTTCAGAAAATACATGCAGATGTACGTAAAATAAAAAGTATTATCTGTAATTAAATATGTAACTCGTAATATAAAAGTGTATTACTATTATAAGACTTTAAGATATTTCTTTGTAATTTTAAGGTAAACATAAAACTGTAAAAAAAAGCGTCAAACAAAAAAAATGTAAAGTAAAACATTTTTACATAAATCATTTTCTCAATATTCGATTGAATCCACCACAAACACAAAATATCCAATGTTGAAACAAAAGTAAATAAATATGTTTTCATTAAATTCCTAACTTACTATATTGTAAACATCTACAGTTGACAATATCATTAAAAAAAATAAAAATCTTAGAAAGTGGAGAAATCTCTGCAGGGAGGACCCAGGTTTAAAACACACACTGTTATTTACTCAACAATAAGTCACAGTTATCCTTGTTTTATTTATGTGTTCTGTTGCTGTGTTTTTTCCCCCATTGGTCAATATACAGTAATAAGCCTTAGTCTTTCATGCAGTATAATGTGCATGGTTTTCGGATTCTGGCCGACAGCCAGAGCTACGGCACTTGAATTGGAATTCAGCCATAACACGGCAGACAAGTCAGGCATGTTTGGAATGAGTCCACAACACTCCTGATTGGTTAATATAAACGTCATTGAAGAAACCTGCCAATGAGAACTGCCCGCGCCTGTTGTTCACATTTGAAACATTCACGTCAGTTAGAGCGGGTCTCCTCCTGCGGACGGAGCTACAGCTGTCTGCCCCTTTCACACCGGCGCTTTTCCAGCTCCGGCTCGGAGCTGCAGGAGTTTATGGATTAATGGATTAATATCGGGATCGTTTTACATCTACACGTTAAATATGAGCATCGGGACGTCAACAAAGAACAGAAGACTTGAGATCTGGTGAGTCCTGCAACTGTAATGGAGTTAAACATGTATTTAGATAATCCTTAGTTTGTGAATGTTTTATTTTTTATTTAAGGTTACGTTTCTTCTTCTAGTTAGCTGAGTTTGCATCATTAATAGGTTGTTAAATGTTAAGAAGCCCTGAGATGCTGTTTCTTGCAAGATGTTGCGCCCAAACCTGGTTTAACAAGGTGGCTGCTAACGTTAGCTTACAGCTTATTGCAGTGCTGCCGCTCCACCTCTCGTCTCCAACACGGGAGAATTACACATAAACATGCAGCGGGGTGTCACAGTGTTGTCGCCAAGTTTAATGTAAAGTTTCACAGCTTTCTTACAGCGGAATCCAGTTTGTTAATGTTCAGCAGCCAACAGCTAGCCTAGCATAAACAGCTAACCGCTAACGTTCGGCTAACTTGCTAGTTAGCTCTGCTCTATATATTACAAGCTAACATGACTAGCTAATGTCACACTGTGTGAACTAAAATACTTGTTGTATTACTACATCATACATGCTTGGTCCAAATCACTGCTAAAATTAATTATTTTTGAAAATGTATAGTAAATAAACACTCAGCCATGCATGAAATAACATAGCAAAAGAATACGGGCAATGTTTGACCCATGTTGTCCCTTAGAAGTGTAGTGATACAAACATGATTTGTATTCAAAAAGTAAGAAAGTAAAAATTAGAATCAACCAAGCATATCTTCCCCCTCGAAATCCCAGTTGTACTTCGCTAACATGGACTAGGTCATGTTAGACAAGCAATCCAGTGGTTAGTTTTAGGGTAAGCTCCATTGTTTTTTTTGTTTTTTATTCACTTTAAGAGAAAGGGATTTCAGAAACAAGTATCACAAGTTTGGCTCGAGGTAAAATTAACAAAAGCTAACTGTAGTTAGACTATGTTCCCCCCTTCTAAACTTATGAAATAATCAATGCCCTTGGGATGCTCTCAAGTGTGTGTGTGTGTGTGTGTGTGTGTGTGTGTGTGTGTGTGTGTGTGTGTGTGTGTGTGTGTGTGTGTGTGTGTGTGTGTGTGTGTGTGTGTGTGTGTGTGTGTGTGTGTGTGTGTGTGTGTGTGTGTGTGTGTGTGTGTGTGTGTGTGTGTGTGTGGTCCATCATACAAGATTTAGGGGATCTATTGGCAGCTGCTGATAATAACATCCATCATTATGGTTTACTAATAGTTATCACTTCACTTCCTCCTCCAGCACCTGGACACAGCAGGAACCTACGCCAGGATCCTGTTTGTGGACTTCAGCTCTGCCTTCAACACCATCATCCCAGCTCTGCTGCAGGACAAGCTCTCCCAGCTGCAGGTGGATCACAGACTTCCTGTCTGACAGGAAGCAGCACGTGAGGCTGGGGAAACACGTCTCTGACCATCAGCACCGGTACCCCTCAAGGCTGCGTTCTTTCCCCTCTGCTCTTCTCCCTGTACACCAACAGCTGCACCTCCAGTCACCAGTCTGTCAAGCTCCTGAAGTTCAGACGACACCACGCTCATCGGACTCATCTCTGGAGGGGACGAGTCTGCCTACAGGTGGGAGATGGACCATCTGGTGACCTGGTGTTGGGAAAACCACCTGGAGCTCAACGCTCTCAAGACAGTGGAGATGGTTGTGGACTTTAGGAAGAACGCAGCCCCGCCCGCCCCCATCACTCTGTGTGGCTCACCATCACTCTGTGTGACTCCCCATCACTCTGTATGACTCCCCATCACTCTGTGTGACTCCCCAGTCACTGCTGTGGAGTCTTTCCGCTTCCTGGGCACCATCATCGCCCAGGACCTCAAATGGGAGCAGAACAGCAGCTCCCTCATCAAAAAAGCCCAGCAGAGGATGTTCTTCCTGAGGCAGCTGAAGAAATTCAACCTGCCAAAGACGATGATGGTGAACTTCTACACCTCCATCATGGAGTCCATCCTCACCTCCTCCATCACCATCTGGTACGCTGCAGCCACAGCCAAGGATAAGGGCAGGCTGCAGCGTGTCATCCGCTCTGCAGAGAAGGTGATAGGCTGCAATCTGCCATCCCTCCACGACCTGCATGCCTCCAGGACCCTGAGGCGGGCAGGAAAGATAGTGGCCGATCCCTCCCACCCTGGACACAAACTGTTCACCCCCCTCCCCTCTGGCAGGAGGCTGCGCTCCATCAGGACCAAAACCTCTCTCCATCAGGACCAAAACCTCTCTCCATCAGGACCAGAACCTCTCTCCATCAGGACCAAAACCTCTCTCCATCAGGACCAAAACCTCTCCATCAGGACCAGAACCTCTCTCCATCAGGACCAGAACCTCTCTCCATCAGGACCAGAACCTCTCTCCATCAGGACCAGAACCTCTCTCCATCAGGACCAAAACCTCTCTCCATCAGGACCAGAACCTCTCTCCATCAGGACCAAAACCTCTCTCCATCAGGACCAAAACCTCTCTCCACCAGAACCTCTCTCCATCAGGACCAGAACCTCTCTCCATCAGGACCAGAACCTCTCTCCATCAGGACCAAAACCTCTCTCCATCAGGACCAGAACCTCTCTCCATCAGGACCAGAACCTCTCTCCATCAGGACCAAAACCTCTCTCCATCAGGACCAAAACCTCTCGCCACCTCAACAAGGCCCCCCCACTGACACTTTACCTCATCCACAACGCAGACTCTATGCATTACATAATGGAGATCACAGGATGGTAAATAATGCAATGTTTAAATATTGCTTACTGCACATATTTTATATTCTATAATTTATTGCATTCTATTTCGATGTATATTACTGCTTTATTTTATTGCTATCTTACTATATTTTTATTACAGTGTTCTTAATATAGTTCGCTATCTGTGTACTTTTTTTTATTTAATTTTTTTTATTTATATGTGTATGTACGACACCTAGTCAAATTCCTCATACGTGTGAAAAACCTGTTTCTGATTCTGATCTTTTTGTCCTCTAGGTTGCACTGCCACGTCTACAGTAGCGCAGAATGGACAGAGGAAACATGATTGGGCCTCAAGGTTTTTGCAGCCAATATACATTCTACAAACTTGGGATAGGAGGGTGAGTGAACAAGTTATCCATTGGTTGGAACCTACATCCCCATTGTTAGACGTACTAAATCCTGCACACTGCTCCTTCAAATTGACAATGTGAACATATGTTGCCATTTTGTAATTTCTGTTATTTTCAGTTGAGAATGTT